ATGGTATATAATTATAGTATGCATTTGTGATTAAGCTATAGCATGTGTTCATTTATACAGTGTTTTTAAACTGTTTTTCATTCATTCACGACAGTTAGTGGAAGCTAGAGATTACGGTTTATAAAGTTTTAAATATGGATATTTTTCTTAGAAAAACTCATTGATTCGCTTCAGAAGGCGAATTAAACCCCGAAGCGGGGACACTTTTTATGATGGATGGATGCACTTTATTGGACTATTGAAAAATAACACCCATTCACTGCCATTATAAAGCTTGGAAGACCCAGGATACTTTTTAATATAACTCTGATTGGATTCGTCTGAAAGAAGAAAGTCATATACACCTAGGATGCCTTGAGAGTGAATAAATTATGTATTTTATTTTTGGGTGAAATATCCCTTTAAGTTAAACCTAATAAATTCACAAATCACTGGATCTCTTCATCCCACGCTCCTTTATCGTGGTGATGGCAATTAAGATCAAAGGCAGATTAAACAGAAATGATTTCTGACAGCTATTGAAAGGTTCTCCTTTCATTTAGAGATAACTCATCATATGATCCTACAAAGTGAAATACCCGAGAACAGAAAGCACTGAAACCAGAATCATATTTAACACTATACTGAAACATTTAGATATTTATGCACTACAACCTTTGCATTAAGCTTTCACATTGACATTACCAACAAACTGCAACAAAGCATTCTAGATGTTACATGAGTCTTCGACTGATGGAAATTCCTATGTTGGAACATATTATCATATGCCATGATAGGTATTTTGTAGGGGTGCTCCAATTAGGATTTTTGAGGCCGATCACAGAAACAGGGCTCGCAAAATTAAAAGATCCCTGGTAGGGCAGGCATTCTTCAGATTGTGGTAGCCCAAAAACTAATTTAACTACACTCTAAAAAATGCTGGGTTAAATACAACCCAGTGCTGGGTAAAATAGGGACAAACCCAGCAATTGGGCTGTTTTGACCCAGTGGTTGGGTTAAATGTTTAACCCAACCTTCTGGGTAGTAACCCAACTGCTGGGTCAAAACAACCCAATTGCTGGGTTTGTCCCTATTTTACCCAGCACTGGGTTGTATTTAACCCAGCATTTTTTAGAGTGTAGCCCCAATAAAATATATTGTATTTTTTCTTCAAATATCAAGTCAAGAGAGTAGGGGTGCAAAGGATCACAAATCTCACGGTTCGGATTATATTACATTATCATATCACATTTTGAGTCACAGATCGGATAATTTTTCAGATGAGCAAAAAAAAAATGGTTCTTTATTTTTTAAATAACACTTATTATTTAAAGAACAAATTTACTACTTTGATACCACAGCAAAAACTAGTAGCATATAGGGATGTAACGATTAACGGTTTACGTTCATGTAAGACATGAAAACACTTACCCAGATAGTTATTTTGAGATAATTTTGCGTGTTCAAGCGAAAGAAGAATCAATTCGGTGTTCGTGCTCTGCCTGAAACGCTGCTCTGTATGTGCGCGCTTTGAGCGGGTACGCGCGAGCACAGAACTGAATTTTTCATGCGCATGAATGGTTTAAAACGCTTGAATGTTTAAATTGGTAAGACTTAGAAACACGTGTAAATGATAAACTATGATCCGTTTCACCCCTACAAGCGAGTGAACAATGCGAATCAAGGAAGGGATTTTATATCACTATTCAAGATAGCCCGTCAAGCAGTGCAGTGATTTTGGTAGCCCGACTGGAAAACACAATAGCCCCGGGCCGTCAGGCTAGCGATATTGCGAGTCCTGCAGAAAGCATCTGCCGATACGATCACCGATACCAATCTTTTTAAAGCCTTCTTTTTATCATGTATAATTATTTATAGTGATGATCCAATTAAATTTTTTTTACATTTATTCAGGGCCTTCATTTTTGAAAAGGAATTCCTCTTTTAGGTGACACTTGTGAGAGGGGAGTCTTTTTATTTGAGGGATGGAGGGGGACATTTTTCAAAAATATATATCTCACCTAAATATTTGATCATGCATTACATTTTTGTTTTGACAATCGTGCAATTGTTTCACAATAGCTAACACACAGCGCAAGCCTGATTTCACTAGCCCGACTGGAAAACACAATAGCCCCGGGCCGTCAGGCTAGCGATATTGCGAGTCCTGCAGAAAGCATCTGCCGATACGATCACCGATACCAATCTTTTTAAAGCCTTCTTTTTATCATGTATAATTATTTATAGTGATGATCCAATTAATTTTTTTTTACATTTATTCAGGGCCTTCATTTTTGAAAAGGAATTCCTCTTTTGGGTGACACTTGTGAGAGGGGAGTCTTTTTATTTGAGGGATGGAGGGGGACATTTTTCAAAAATATATATCTCACCTAAATATTTGATCATGCATTACATTTTTGTTTTGACAATCGTGCAATTGTTTCACAATAGCTTACACACAGCGCAAGCCTGATTTCAGTAATTAAATGCGTTTTGCACCTTTATAGATTATGTTATTTGATCAATGGTGATGGGCAAAGACTAATAGTGTAATCTATTAACTACACATAAAAACCTGACTGTTTACTTAAGTACCAGATATGGGTGTAATGCCATAAAATATTTTTGTATTTAATGTGAATTTAATTACAATATTGTAAGTTACTAACTATAACACTTTCATTTTACAGAGAGCAAAGAACATTTACATTATCAAAGAACATTTTCATTCAGTCTAGCTAGAGGCTCTCTCAAAAACTCCCATTAAAATCACTGAAGCTGTTTACACTGTGAAATTAATATCTTACATACATTCGTAAGCACATCTGCACTTTGTTGTTTCTGTTGAGCGCAAAACACCGCGTTTCAGCAATGACTCATCTGAACATCTCTGATTGGTCATTGCATTCATACGCTCAACAGAATCGTGTGTGATTGGTTATAATGCAGCGCTGTACAAACAAGTAAGATCGCTTTTGTCAACATTATTGCATAAAACTGTCCCTCAAAAACTGTTCAACATTCCTCATATTCTAAATAAAATATTTATATATGGTTTTTAAGTAATATTTATGCAACTATTACTCGCAATGTGCTGTGCTGAAAAAAACAACAACAAAAATACAAAAAGTTATTAATCAATAGTTCTAACAAAATCTGTCCAGTGAAGGATAGGTTTGGCTTATAGAAAAAGAAAAAGTGAAAAACAATTCTCAGTTTCAGTGTTGTCATAGTTATTGTATGTATGTTTTCTTTGTAGGGCAGTCTACTACAAGCTCAAACAAGTTAACTTCAAACAATGCCGTCACTACTTGAACTTAAAACTGTTTAGTCACTACAGCATGATTGGTTTTGTGTAACTTTTGTGTTTGAGCTTTAACACACAACAATTCTCTGCTTTAAAAGCATGTGGTTGCCCGTTAGCCAGCATACCATAGCAGGAGGTCCAGCACACTGAAAAGGTTAATAGGCTCATTTGCACCTGGTGCTTGCTGCCATGCTGGAAACCAGGATGTTGGGAGGGGGGGAAAAAGCCTTTCAATTGTTACACTCAAACCACCTCTTACATCACACTTCCCTGAAATAAGTTTCACTGTAATAGCAATAGCCAGGCCACACAATGTAAAATTTACCAGGAAAAGGAAGTAGATATCTACAGGTAAAACAACTCTCTCTGCCAGCAATAAAGTGAATGTTTGAGAACCAGCCATGAATACAGCTAACTGACAACAACAGGCTGGTTTGAAGATCACACTTAAGACTCATAAAACCTCAGTGGTATGAATGAAAAGTTATCAATATTATCAATACCATTTTCCTATATTTCTGTAAATGGAAAGAGAATAAAACACATTTTGAATACGATATATATCACACTCTTGAGGACATTAGGGTCATTAATTGAAATAGGACGACTATTTTAAGCTGTCAAATGTGATGATGTACAAAATGTGCCTCCTAAAGTGAACTTTTATAGATATCCCCTATAGGGAGCAGTAAACACTAAATAGAATCTGAATCAGAATGAGCTTTATTCGCCAAGTGTGCACAAACACACAAGGAATTTGTTGTGGTTTCCAAGAGCTCTGGGTACATACAAACATAGGAGCCCTTTGATTCATTACGTAGCTTTATACATGTACATATGAGGACTTTAAATTAACTAATCAATCTACCAACAAGGAAATGCATTTAAACACAAAAAATGACAGCAAAACATGTAGGATATCTGCATCAAGGGGGTCTAGCTACACAGTGCATTCTCATCGCGCATGATTGGTGGGCGCCAAATCTGGCCCTTTAAGTGCTTTACACAGAAGACCCCCACTTCAAAGAGCTCTTCTCTGTTTACACACATGAAAATCCACATAACGTTACGCTGTGGTTGCCAAAGGCGACGTATCTTACAGGACCGGTGTATGTGTATCAAAGCAACTTTGACAGGGATATCAATATCCCATCCTTTCATTTTGCAAGCAATTTGCCCATTGATCTGTCCTGCTTTTGTATTTTGATTGCTGCTCGAGGCATAATAAAGACCACCCGTGCGGAACAGAGGCTGAGTCACGTCGTAGCGCTATATATAACGCCAAGAGAGTTCTACACATCTAAAAACGGACATTTGTAAACTTTGTAAGCTAACTCGACTTTAGGAAGCAGTAAAAATAAACTGGTTCCATAAAAAAAACAAATCCACATAACGTTACGCTGTGGTTGCCAAAGGCGACGTATCTTACAGGACCGGTGTATGTGTATCAAAGCAACTTTGACAGGGATATCAATATCCCATCCTTTCATTTTGCAAGCAATTTGCCCATTGATCTGTCCTGCTTTTGTATTTTGATTGCTGCTCGAGGCATAATAAAGACCACCCGTGCGGAACAGAGGCTGAGTCACGTCGTAGCGCTATATATAACGCCAAGAGAGTTCTACACATCTAAAAACGGACATTTGTAAACTTTGTAAGCTAACTCGACTTTAGGAAGCAGTAAAAATAAACTGGTTCCATAAAAAAAACTCACCCTTATCCGCCTCATGGCCGCAACAATCTCCACACGGCTGTTGGGTCGAGCCACATCCAGACTACCGATATACTAGACATTAAAGCCAACGAGAAGAAATGTATTAGATCTCATGTCAACACGTTGGGCTTAAGTGAAACTAAATGTGGTATCAGACTTCTGAATTCACGCGCTCAATTAAATTGACCAAATGGAATGTAAACAAGTGGCAACAACAGTGGCACAACAACTTTCAATGTCTCCTGGGACTGAAAACAGGATTTGCAGCAGGATGTAAACAAAACACGCTGCTGAAAAACACGTCTTTATGTCAAAAGAAAATTAGCCTACCTTTGCTTCGAAATTAATCCCATGTTGGTATGCTTCCTCGTTATGTAAAGGAATCCGCAAATCGTGTCCATCATCGACTAAATTGTACTTTGTTTTGGCAGGCATGGTGACTGTTTTACGTCTTTCTCCTCAGTTTAAAACACAAACAGCTCGAGAGGAATCAGAACTCAGTCTAACTCTTGCGATCCATGCCTTTTTTAGCCCGAGGTCATTCTTATTTCTCATGCGTGCTCGCTTTTGACAGAGGAACTTTTGTAGAAATCACTTATCTTCAATCCGACGTCGCCGAAGTGTCTTCCCAAGGTGTACGTTTGACCCAATATGAATGGTCTGCTCACTTGTTCCCATTCAAGCGGGCAGCCCTAAGCTTTGGCTGGTGTAGTAGTACCAAAATCCTGCTTCCTGGGCTTGTCCATTTCCAACAACTTCTCGCCAGCGCCATAACCGAGCCCACACATCCTTTTCGAAAGGATTGTTGCGAGGGCAGAGCGCCATTGGTCGATGGGGGAATTCCACCTGCTTTCATTGGAACACGGCTTCAATACAGGTTTGGAGGAGGAGGAAAAACACCTCGCTTCGCATTCAACAGCCAACAATGGTGTTCAAGGAGAGCGGAGAATGGCATCTAGTGGCAGACTTCGGCACACAGTGGATACAGTTGAGGCGAGTTGGCAACTCATTTTATTTCGACCTCATGTTGCTTCCCCAAGTAAATCAGAAAATGTACATAAGTTCTACGTAATATCAGAACGATACTATTACTCGATCTGCGGCTTAACCTGTTTTAAAGGTTACAAATTGAAAAAAAAAATTTAATTTCTTTATTTTTTTTCTTCATTTTGTTATATGATGATAACTAATTTTTTTAAATTAATTTAACATTTTTTTTCGAAATGTATAGGCCTACATTTTGTTTGCATATCCCAGACCCAGACTTGCAGTCATATGCGATGAAAATCCATTATACATTAAACATAAACATAGTGAAATGAAACGTCTAGACATAGTGAAATATATTTTAACATTTATTTATTATTAATTAATTTTCTTTTTCTTCAAAAGTTAGTGTAAGCAATGAGAATGAGATGTGTGACGTGCAGAAAAGCAAATAAAAATCAAGGTACATTTGACTTTTTATTGGCAAAACTTCTCAATTACGCAAAAAGTGTGTAAATATTTCATTGTGTGCAATTAGCCTTAGCAAGACAAAGTAGGCCATTTAACAAAAATATTTAAAATGTAATTTCCAGTAGGCTACATCATTTTCACCACAGAATGCTGTTTAACAAAAATTTCTATTTTTTTTTAGAAATAGCCTTTGTGCACAGCCAGCCTTGTACTCTTCTAGGTTCAAAAAAACTGTCGTCCATAAAATGCGTTGCACAAATTCGAACATCTGGGTTGTGCTGTTCTGTTGTAAATAAATCTTAACCAATGATTCCTAATTGCATCTACATCTGGAAGGCCAAATAAAGTGCTTTTGCTTTAGCACTGAAATACACAGCGTCTCCCTGACATGGCTGCATCAACACTACTGCTGTTCCTGAAACCACGCCTTCTTTCTTTGCGTGCACATTTGGGCGGCATTATGCTAGACATGTGGGGGCGTGTTAGAACGAGCCGTTTTAGGTAGGTGTGGCTGACTCTTAACTTTTATAAAGAATATCTCTTTGGATTTGAGACTTTAGTCTTTGCAACTTTACAGATCTTCTTTATGCACCAAGAGCTTGTAACACTCCAAAGAGAAAGGAAAAATTGAAATTGCATCATATGACCCCTTTAAGAATATTTAGATCATGGAAATGAAGTATCACAATATTAGATGCCTTGAAATACTTGAATAAATAGTAAATAAACATTTTCTAACAAAAAGTGCAAAGTAACAAGTAGAAAAAAGAAAAAAAATTACAAATAACTTGAATGGAGATTTTTCCTTCTACAGATTTTTCCCGGACCTTCTTTTCTCTGTAAATTAAGGGTGCACTGTATTGCTGAAAAACACAATCCCTACTTAGCAGTCAGATGTCCGTATTCACAAAGGCACAGATCCCTAAACAAGGCCATATCTGCAGATTAAACTTTTTTGTAGAAGCATTTTTTTATTTTGAACTAGCGCCAACTACACCATGTTATGTACGAGAAGCTACAAAAGACACTGGCGCAAGTGGAATGCAAAAAAACATGGTGACATGAATTTTTATGTAAATATAATAGGCAATATATTGCGTCACCAAAATTGATTGAGGTCATGTACATATATTGTGCGATATGTCGATATATTGATTATTGCGACAGGCCTACTCACATTTAGTGTTCCTCTCTTTTCTGTATTGTGTACAATGTAACATATCTTGTCACATCACATATCCATGTCTCTTTCCCAATAGTCAGTAACCAAGATATTCAATCTTGGTGTATCTATTACACAGTTTCAACATTTTATTAAACTTCCCTTTACTCCTATTTCTCTCTTCACGCCGACTCATTTGACCTATGTTGTGCTCTTCCACTAATAAACTCTATGCATTGGTTTGATCTAAAGGAGATGAACCCACCTGTGGCTGTTTTTATATACCTTGAGGTTCTGATTGGTATTTGGGGTGAACAATGCATAGTTCAAAAGATAAAATAATTAAGTGTTTACTGTGTGCAAATGAAAGTGTGTGAGCTGCTGGAAACCTGATCAACCTATAGTTACTTTAGACATGCCTGTTCCTCTTTAACCAATCAGGGGTGCATTAACTAATAGCAACTATGGTCGCAAGTTCCTTCTTTACCAATAGAGTTTAGCAGAACTTGTGACCATTTCAAGTTCTTTTTTGGTAAAGATTTATTTATATATTTATTTATCATGTATTATTATAATATGCATAACTGATGTATGAAAAGGACACATTAGAGAATGTTGATTTTTAAATTTGTTAGAAATTGATTAAAATAGGATGTACGCTTACTAAGTCCAGTGTCATTCGCCCCATCAAGGCAGTCTCTTAGGTGAATTGGTAGTGGAAGTTGGATTGGAAGTTGCCCTTCAGATGGTAACAATGCATTATGTGCCCCATTGGCTCTGCCAGCTCTGAACACTAAACAACTGCAAACAGATGGGCAGACATGGCAAAAGAAACTGTAAATAATGTTAATGTTCCAACTCGGGTCCAGAATCCATCAATTTTATGAAGTCCAATCCAGTAACCTTGAAGAGGTTGCTATTGAAATGTCTCCTCTTTGTTCTGAATGGCCCACACTGTAGTTCTGCTTTTATCTGTCTTTAGTTTTAATGGACTGCATTCACAGATTGTTCATGGTAAAATAGAATGCATGCAGTTACTAATTGCGTTTACATTTTTATGTGCTTAAATGAGCAGAAAATCTATTTTAATTGGATTAACACAATATAGAATGACACTTAACAGACTGAATACATCAGAACAACACATCAGTATTGCTGATCAGTGGACTTATTTATTATTATTGATGCACTGATATGAAGATGGTGGTCTTTGATTAATATGCTTTTATTATGTTCTTTAATAATACTAATTCTTTCTTAGTATGATGGATCTTCTATGGGAATTATTGTGATAGTTGTTTAACTCTACTTCTCGACTTGCTTTCCTGAAAAATCAGCCAATTTAAGCATTGCAGTTCTAGTTTTGGGATACACCCCTCTCTAAGGCTGAATGAGGAAACCTCTAAGGACAATTTTGAAGTACTTCAGGCCAAATAATAATTTTTTGCTATTTAGATAAGATACACTTTCTGCCAGGGATATTTCCCACATTTATTATCACTGCTAAATGCATATTATGCACGTCAACATAATCCACAGTATGCTTCTAATGCTGCAGTTTTTTCATATTCAGCAATAAAAAATGTAACCTTTCAACTATCTCAAACTCTGAACATGACTATGAAGTAGGAGGAATCTTTCTATTTTTAAAATGTTTGATTGCTTAGGGCAGAGGGAAAAAGTTGGAATAATGGTTGCTGTTACAAAAGTAACCACTGGGGAGATGTGTAGGCAGAAACGACTGACTCATACATTTCCTGATGGTATGGTATGTTTGTTTAATAAAAGAGACTGATAATTTTAGTTGTGAGGAGCCCTATGAAGCGACTTTCTGACATTACGCCTTTTTTTAAGTAGCTTGCAAATATTTACTAAAGTAAGATTGGAATAGAATAGAATATATTTCTCCCTCTTTCACCTTCTACTGGTGATTTTGAAGATGTACAACTCACTAAAGGGCTGATTTGATGTGGGTTGGTCTAATTAGAGAACACAGATGTTGCAGGTTACTACAAGGGTTACAAAAATACAATAAAATAAAAAACAGTTTGTGGCTTTTCAGAAGAGAACAGAGTTTTTGTGTGCAATGTTGGTGGAAGGAGTGTGACTTTTGGGAGAGTGGTTTATGTAAGGGAGAAAAGGTGGGAAGGTGTATACAATGATGGGAGAGATAAAGGCAAAAAGGCAGGCCAAACGAAGTGATATATTTAGCTCCATTTAAGCTGCTGTCTGTGTTGGAGGCACCCCCCTTTTGAACAGTTAGAACCTCATTTAGAGTTAAAAAATGGGGTGTGAATTCATGGAGGGGAGCTTGAGGCAGTTGCAGCAGAGGGCATTTCATTTGTTAAATGAAACCTGATGTTAAAATCTAAATTGCCCTAATTTATGGAAATTGTATACAATGTTATGCAGTTTTTGTAGCAGATATAAATATCGGATATGTTACTGTGATCACAAAACAATGGTGCCACTTTATAATATCAGTGGAAATAACCCCCTTCATCAACAGATGATCTGTTTAACCTGAATTAGTAATGAAGATTCCCCAAAAATATGGGGCACAGGAACAGCTGAAACAGGATGTGAGGATGCACACATAATGACTATAAACTCACTCTTGTACAAACAACAAAGCAGCTAAGAACATATTTGTTTGTTCATGCCTGTTGGCTATTCACAATGTTGTTTTTACACAGATAGAATAACATTTTATGTTGGCCATTGATGTATTATGTGCTCTGATGACGGTATTCTGCAGCAGAAAACAGTATTCTGCGTTCATTCTGCATATAAATTAAATGAATAAAAAAATCCTGCTGATATTGAAATAAATTATAGTTGGAAAACCTTTAAATATTACGAATTATTAAGTATAGCACAACTAGAGTTATGCTAATACAATAAAAATCCACAGAGGGGCACTGCAGTGCAAGATATAAGCAAATAGAGGGAAAAAAAAATGGGACAACAGTAACAGTCTTCTTTAAACATTCAGTTTCAGATAAACTTTTCAAAGAGTAATGCTGCGTTATCGCACTATTAAATAAAATTATATTTGAACTCTCTAGTCAATCAACATGGAACTATTTGGAATATTTGTTAATGAGTTTTAATCTTTGTTAACATTACCCTCTATATAAATAACTTCCCATCTATAGAAAATAATTCTTTCTTGAAATATCATTGATTGTATATTGCTGAAAGTGCTTAGAAATCAACAAGGAACACTTACATACATTTATTTATTTTTATTTATCAATCCCGTCTGGCAATAATGAGTGAAAAGAACAAATAAATATTGCCATCTATTAGTGATAACCTGTTAGTGATAAGACCATAAAAACACAAATAGTTCTTTG